CTCCTATGACGATCTCCAAGCTTGATTTGATGAAACCCAGCTCCAAGATAGCTTCTAGGATGTGTTCTTCGTCCTTTCTCTCTCTAGGGCTCTGTTTTTGCTCAAAAATCCGATTCTCTCTCTTGCAGCCCGAAATAGGGTTAAAACCAGGAATTCCCGACTCACACGGGCTGGGCCACACGGCCGTGTGGCATACCCAGGTGGCTGTGTGAGTCAAAATGCTGCGTTCCAATTAGTTCGATCTTCAGGCTTCCCACACGGCCAGGGTCGCACGGCCGTGTGTGATTTCCATCCTGCCCGTGTTTGCTCTCGCACAATCTCACACGGCCAGACCACTCCTTCACACGGCCGTGTGGATAACAGGGCAAGCCGTGTTTGCTCTCGCACAATCTCACACGGCCAAAGTGGTCACTTGCACGGCCGTGTGAGTTGTGGTGTGCCCGTGTGGCCTCCTTTTTGACTTGCCTCGCGCCCGATCTTCGTCCAATCGACCCCAAACTCGCTCCCAAGCCTCCATTCACGTACTAGGACCTGAAATATCACAAACAAACACAACCTAGCGTGAAATCGGCCTAAAACACGAGAAACCACATCTCAAACGGTGTAAGAACAGGGGTGAAAACATGTGTAATTAACGGTCTATCAAACTCCCCCACACATAACCGTTTGCTTGTCCCCAAGCAAACCAAGTCAGACACAAGGTAAGCTCACATATTTCAATCAACCAACATTTGGGACAAGTCATAAAGGCACAGAACACGTGAATCGTACTGGTTTTCAAACATCAATACATGACCAACTTCAATAGCAACCTGGACAACCACCACAAAGGACATTCGAGTGCAGCAAAATCGAGTAAAGGAAGAGTCTCCCTTCTGTTCACCAACCAACCTAGACTTGACTCAACCACTTCTGTTCTCTCAATCCCTAACATCTCTTCACCATGATGGCAGCCTCTAAACGCTAGAGTTCACATATGGGGTGTCACCACTAACTAATCAGGAGGTCTTAGACACAGGTTCAAATGACTGGCTAGGGTCTTGGACATGGGGAAAAGGCCTTTTAGGTGGTGGAAGTATTCATAGCACAAGGTTCCACATTTCCAAGCCCAAACAATCACAGTCAAACAAACCGGTATTTCCTTTCTGCTATTCTGCATTACTCAACATCTCAAGAGCACCAGAGCGAAGGAGGTATAAATGTCAGCATTTCCAAGCCAGACCGCTAAGAAACACTATTTACTGGGCATTATTCAGATTTTTGGTAGTGGCTCTCTTTTGCTTCCAATTTTTCTTTCATTTTCTTTTCATTTCTTAAGAGAGCCACCACTTCTGCATATATTTCAAACACCTGCCCAGCCCAACTTTTAAGCACTACCTCCAACACTCACATTAAATTTAGCAGAAACAGCAGAGAACATGTAAAACCCACTCTGTGGAACCTTCTAAAAGATGCAAAAGGGTGATTTTTTTCATTTCAGACCAAAAGAAAGGATAACACACGGCTCAAAAGGGCTGACTAGGGGATATGACACATCAGGACAGTCAAATTTGATCGTGGGCTAATCCTATGCCCCCATCATCTTAGCTAGTGACAACGTGAATGCTACACATCATGGAAGAGGGATCTATCGCACAAGAAAGAAACGAGCAGGCTCAAATCTCACATGGCTACCTATATGCTCTATCTCACATTCTGATACCCTGAACTAGATGCATAAGAGACTGTCAAGAACAAGTAATCAATCCAAGTCACAGTTGGTAAGCAAACAGTTGAAAAACTGAACCCCTACACAACTCTACTGCACGTCTTAGTCCTCATCATACGTTGTCCTAGTCACAATCAAGCTGTCATGCATCAATCCGAAAACCATTCAATTCATCAATCAAAACAAAGTGCCAATATGATCAAACAGCAGTACTTGGAGCCCTCAAATCTCGAGATTTGGACAGTGGACTAGGCTCCAAGCACACATATATACATTCCAACCGATACAAAGCACCCCCCCACACTTAAGCACGACATTGCCCTCAATGGAGCAGAGGGATAGAGAAGGGGAACGATGTTACCGGATTGAAACTGCAGGGGGACTGGAAGTGGACCAGTCAGAGAGCAACAAACGGGAAGATGGACAGTTCTGCACGAATTGAACACCAAGAACACACTAGCACACGTTGTGTTAGGGATAAGTGTTAGCCCAGACGGCTACAGCAAAAACAATCCACAAAAGAAACAAACAAAAACAAAAACAAACGACACTAAGTTCAAGCTCCTCACACATGGAGCAAACACACACAAGTATAAAACGAAAAACAAAACACACTGAGATGGGCAACGAGTACAGCCTACTCGTCGCCAAGATCACCGAAGTCAATGTCGTTCATGAAGGCGTCACCACCATCAACACCATCATCACCATCCGCTGGGGGAGGTGGAAGTGGAGAGTCCTCCCAGGGAGTCCTCCAAACGGGCTGCTCGCCCGGTTGCAGCCAGAGTAAATGCTGCTGGACCTCCTGCATGCGCCGTGAACGGCGCCTCTCTCGCTCGATGTGTGTGAGAGTCACTCCCTGCTGGGTCTGGATCTGGTCCAATCTCTCATCGTAAACAGCCATTCTCTGGTGGTACTCGGACTGGTGAGCCGCGTACTGCTGCTGGAACTGCATCTGATGGTCGAGGATCTGCTGGTTCTGGAGACGCAGCTGCTCGAACTGGGAGGTGAAGTAATCCTGCCCCGGGAAACTGGAGCTGCCACCCCCGTACTCGAAGGTGGTGGGGCGGGCAGCAGCAGTGTCATCCACGTCCTCGGGCTGGACCTCCTCATCAGCTGCACCCTCGGGAGCCTCCTGCTGGACCGCCTCTGGGATCTGAGGTTGAGGAAACCCCTCGATCCACATGACACCTCACTCTTCTCGAAGCAGGAGCATTTTGGTGAGCGTAACCCGTCCAAAGAGAGTGGTCTCTCCCTGCTCCGTGCACCCCTGCAGGGATATCTGGAAGTACTCTGCCAGGCAGGTGATGAGAGGAGTGCAGTGGAGTTTCTTCAGCTCAGAAGCACTCTTCTCGAAGGTCCTCGCCACCACCGAGCCCAAGTGTAGGGGATGATCCCTCAGGCGCATGGACTGGATGAAGTACAGGGATCTCTTGGTGATGGCGCTGACACTGTCTGAGGCTGGGGTGTAAGACTTGGCCAGCATGTGATGGAGGAGACGGTTTTCAAGCTGCAATGTGCTGGCCTTCGTCTTCCCCGCCTTGAAGGGGAGCTGACGTGGCCGAGCGAGGCTGAAGTACAGCCTCCCGAAGTCCACCCCTGCTGGCTCGGCGATCTCGGTGATGAAGGTCCTGTCATTGACCAGGTTGAGGCCGAGGGCGTCCGCCAGCTCGTCGTAGCTCATGGAACGTGGTTCACCGCCGAGTCGGAACTGGACGACAGCTTCGTCCTTCCAATCGTCCGTGGCTGCGTGCTTGAAGGTACTGTAGAACTCAAGCACGAGCTCATGGTAAACCTTCGCGCGAATGCTGAGTAGGCGGCGCCAGTAGCGGTTGGTGACAACAGGGGAGAGGTGCTCGTACCAGTTCAGCTTCTCCAACTCGCGCTTGGACCAGTAATGATGCTGCCCAAACTTGCAGGCCAGGACGTTCTGAAAACGATCCCGGTGGGGCCCCCTTCTCAAATCATGAACAAACTGGTGTCGGAGGTTGGGCTCCGACATGGTCCTGCAAAAGAACAGCCCAAAGTGGAACCAAAACAACCAAGGAAAATGTTAATCACACCCCCACACTTAAGAACAGAAAACAGCCTAACCATGGTTTCATCCATAGTTCGGGGGTCAGAAACTCGATAAATCAAGCATAATCTGAGTGGGGGTGCACATCCATGAACAAGTAGGCAACTCAAGGTTCACATCCATACCAAACACCCTCAAAGCACATCATTAAGGGCCCCAACCGACCCCCACAAAATGGTACGAAAACAGGCATTTCATCGAACACCTTGTGTGCACTATTAAGGTAAGCATGAAATTGGCACAATTCTTGCACACAAGGGCTCAAACAATCAAGAGGGACTTAGCCCAACACAATTCAAACACACTCCATGCATTCCCCTCAATCAATTGCACGAAAATCACAAGATTCAATGAGGTTCTCTAAACATGCACCCTAACACCCAATTCTCCACAATTAACATAGTTAAAGGCAAAATCAAACATGGAGACTCAAGTAGAGGTGTAGGGGATGATGAGGGGAAGGCGATGGAAGCGACGAAACGCCGAGAAAATGCTCGGAAGTGCTCGTCGGAGCCTCGCCGGAAATCGCCTCCGGCGACAAAAACGTCGGCCAAATCTCCTCAAAATGGAGGGATAGGCCGCTTTTGGTGTAGGAAGGGTGGGTTTGTTGTTGGTTTGGTAGAAAAATGACAAAAAATGGCCGAAAAAATCGAAAAGTGTGGTTTTTTCGCGGTTTTCCGGCGAGGTTCAGAGGATTCCGGCGAGGATTTTTCAAAATTATGAACACTCGGCCGTGTTGGCCGAATATATAGGCCATGCCTCGGTCGCACGGGCAGGCTCGCACGGCCGTGCGAGGTGCAAGTGTGCCCGTGTTGGCCGACACGGCCTGGCCGAGGAATTTCACTCGGCCGTGCCCAGTGCACATTTGCCCGTGCCAAATTATGCGTGAGCAAACACGGCCAGGGCAAATTTCCACATAGCCGTTCCATAATTTCATCTGGCTGAAACTCTTTCGGGCGTGCATTGAAAAGCAGAACACGATCACCTACCTGAAACTCTTTCGGGCCCCTCAACCGAGCGTCGTGGAGACGCTTGGTGCGCTCCTTGTAGAGCAAGGTGTTCTCGTAGGCGTGGTAACGCCACTCCTCCAACTCCAGCAGCTGCAACTTACGTTCTGTACCTGCAACACTCAAATCCATGTTTAGCAGCTTAATGGCCCAGAAGGCCTTGTGCTCTAGCTCTACCGGCAAATGGCACGCCTTCCCATAGACAAGCCTATAGGGAGAAGTGCCAAATCGGATTTTTATAGGCAGTCCTATACGCCCAAAGAGCATCATCGAGCTTGGTGGACCAATCCTTGCGGGACTGATCCACCGTCTTTTCAATTATTCGTTTTAGCTCCCGGTTCGTCAGCTCGGCCTGCCCATTTGACTGGGGATGGTAGGCCACCGACACCTGATGCTTAACACCATAGCGAGAGAGGAGTTTAGTGAATTGCCCTTGAAAATGGGTTCCTCTATCACTAATGATGGCGCGGGGTGTCCCGAACCGGGAGAACAGCTGCTTCAGAAAGGAGCAGACTCGTCTTGCATCATTGGTGGGCATGGCTTGAGCTTCTGCCCACCTCGAGACGTAGTCCACTGCAACCAATATGTACAGATTGCCAAAAGATGGAGGGAATGGGCTCATGAAATCGATACCCCAAACATAAAAAATTTCACAAATAACAGAGATATGTTGGGGCATCTCATCCCGGGAAGAAATGTTACCTGACCTCTGGCAGCGGTCGCACTAGCGTGCGAAGGAGTCTGCATCCTTGAAGAGCGAGGACCAATAGAAGCCCGACTGTAGCACCTTCCGCGCCGTGCAGTTTCCTCCATGGTGACCTCCTGTAGGTCCCTCGTGGCATTGATAAAGGATGTCTCCCATCTCGTGCTCCATGACACAGCGCCGGATCACGCCGTCTGCTCCGATTCTGAAGAGGTAAGGATCCTCCCAGAAGTAGTGCTTCAGATCGGAGAAGAACTTGCGCTTTGCATGAGTAGCCATCCCCTTGGGTAACTGCTTGCCCACCAGATAATTGGCAAAGTCAGAATACCACGGGGTCACGCTGTCCACCAGTGTCATAGCCAGCAATCGCTCACCCGGGAAGGAGTCATCGATCTCTTCCACGAAGTTGTCCACCGGAGGGGCTTCCAACCGTGAAAGATGATCTGCTGCAACATTCTCGGCTCCTTTCTTGTCCCGGATCTCTATGTCGAATTCCTGCAGAAGCAGGATCCAGCGGATGAGCCGAGGCTTTGCATCAGCCTTGCTCATCAAGTAGCGAATCACCGAGTGATCTGTGTAGACCACCACATGTGAGAGCACCAGATATGGCCGGAACTTGTCAAATGCATACACCACAGCGAGGAGCTCCTTCTCAGTGGTGGTGTAGTTCTCCTGTGCATCGTTCAAGGTCTTCGACGCGTAGTAGATGGGCTGGAAGTGCTTCTCGCGTCTCTGACCCATAACTGCTCCGACTGCATAGTCACTCGCATCGCACATCAGCTCAAAAGGGAGAGACCAGTCAGGAGTTACCATGATAGGGGCATGGGTCAGCTTCTCCTTCAGAGTCTCAAATGCAGCTGTGCACTCGGGAGTGAACTGGAATGGTGCATCCTTCTCTAGCAGCTTGGTCAAAGGCAGGGCAATCTTCGAGAAATCTTTGATGAAGCGCCGGTAGAAGCCTGCATGACCTAGAAAGCTGCGAATCCCCTTCACAGAAACAGGAGGAGGTAGCTGACTGATCGTCTCAATCTTCGCGCGATCCACCTCAATCCCCTGCTTGGAGATCTTGTGCCCGAGCACAATACCCTCACGAACCATAAAATGGCACTTCTCCCAGCTGAGTGCCAGATTCGTCTCTTCACACCTCTTCAGAACGAGTTCCAGGTTATGGAGGCAATGAGAGAAGGAGTCTCCATAAACCGAGTAGTCATCCATGAAGACTTCCATGATCTCTCCAACCAGTCGGTCGAAGATCGCCAGCATGCATCTCTGGAAGGTCGCCGGTGCATTACACAGCCCAAATGGAATCCTCCGGTAAGCAAAGGTACCGAAGGGGCAAGTGAATGTGGTCTTCGCCTGATCCTCCGGAGCGATAGGAATCTGGAAGTAACCAGACATGCCATCCAGGAAGCAATAGAACTCATGGCCACCCAACCTCTCCAGCATCTGATCAATGAAAGGTAAGGGGAAAATGATCTTTCCTGGTGGCATCATTCAGGCGCCGGTAATCGATGCAGACTCTCCAGCCGGTCACGGTCCGCATCGGGATCAACTCCTTCTTCTCATTCGGGACCACAGTCATCCCGCCTTTTCTTCGGGACCACCTGAGTGGGGCTGACCCACTTGCTATCAGATATAGCAAAGATGATCCCTGCATCCATGAGCTTCACAATCTCTGCCCGGACCACTGCCTCCAAGTTAGGAGACAATCTCCTCTGTGGCTGCCTGACTGGCTTAACCTCATCCTCCATCAAAATTCTGTGGGAGCAGAAGGATGGGCTAATGCCCCTAATGTCTGTGATCTTCCATGCCATGGCCCGGGCATACTTCTGCAGCCGAGCTGATAATAACCGGGAGCTTATTCCCCTCCCGGAGAAATGCATACTCCAGGTGAGATGGGAGGGGCTTAAGCTCCAACTCTGGTGGCTCCTCCAATGATGTAGCGAGCCGGGGCGAGATGGGGATCGGCTTGAATGGTATCTCTCTCCCCTCGATCATGGCCTCGTCCAGCTCTGCCAGCTGCTCCTCCAGCTGCACATCCTGTGATGCCTGTTTCCCTAGCAAAAGACAACGCTCAAGGAAATCATCAGTACCCGCACTCGTGATGGCGAGTGCGGTCTCAAAATCAGCAACAACATCACAGTAATCTAGATCATCATGGAGCTGGGGGTGTTTCATATTATCAGAAACAGAGAAGGTGATTTGTTCACCCCCAGCTCTCAAAATCAGTTTTCCATCATTAACATCAATAAGCGCCTTGGCGGTGGCGAGAAAAGGTCTACCCAGTATCAATGGCACATCAACATCCTCATTTATGTCCAAAATCACAAAATCAACAGGATATGAAAATGGCCCTACTGTGACTATCAAGTCCTCTGCTATACCCCTAGGATGCACAATGGATCTATCAGCAAGTTGGATGCTCATCCTAGTATCACTGGGTTCACCTAGGCCTAGCTTTTTAAACAGTTTATAAGGCATGACATTTATGCTAGCGCCTAAATCCGCCAAGGACTTCCCTACATGCAAACTACCAATCATGCAAGGGATAGTGAAACTCCCTGGGTCTTTTCGCTTCTCTGGTAGTTTGTTCTGCAGGATGGCAGAACACTCTTCGTTGAGCATCACCGTTGACAGCTCCCCAAGCTTCCTCTTGTTGGTGAGGAGATCCTTCATGAATTTGGCATACTTGGGCATCTTCGATAATGCCTCCACGAAGGGCATGCTAATGTTTACCTGCTTCAGCATTGCCATGAATTTGGAAAACTCAGTCTCCAGTCGGTCCTTGTGCAACCGAGTAGGAAAGGGAAGCTGTGGTACATACTCCTTCACCACTAGTTGCGGTTTAGGAGCAGGCACCTCAACCTCCTTCTCCATGTCTTCCTGATTAGCTGGAAGTGCTGAAGCAGGGGTCTCTCTCACCTCTGCCCGAACAGGTGGATTGGCAGTCACCTTGCCACTCCTGGTTGTGATGGCACTGCAGTTGGCATTCGGATCCTGCGGGTGAGGAATGGTCTGACCAGGCAAGGTACCAGGAGTCCTCTGAGCTACAGCCTGGGCAACACTCCCAAGCTGGGTCTGTATATCCCGCAGCACAGCCTGTGTATTTCTCTGACAAGCTTCTAGCTCCAAGAATTTGCCTGAAGCTTTCTCCATGAATTGCTCGATGTTATTGAGAGAACCCACCAAATCTCTCAATTCCGCAATCGGGTCACTCTGTACTGGAGCTGCAGGTGCTGCTCCTGTCTGCTGAAATGGTCGCACCTGTGACTGTGGTGGAACTGGCCCCTGTCTGGGCTGGTAGAGTGGCTACTGTGGCTGCTGAAATTGCCCCTGTCTGGGCTGGTACGGAGGCCTCTGGAAGCCAGGTGGTCCCTGGGGAGCTGGTGGTTTGGGATTTGCCCCAGCCTAGGAAAAGTTAGGATGCTGGCGCCACCCCTCGTTATAAGTGTTGCTGTAGGGGTCGAAGCGCCTGGCATTACTGATAAAGTCCACCTGCTCCTGGGTAGTAGACGATTCCCTCATCGCCTGACAGTCTTCTACGGTGTGATGGGAGCTCTCACACCACTGGCAGTGCATCGCCTGCGGCTGTCCTGTACCTGCAATCAAACCAGAACGATCGATAGCTGAAACCAGCTTCGATACCACCTGCACCAAATCAGATGACTGGGTGCCCACAGCATGCACACCCCGTCCTGGTGCTCGTCTCCATCTCCTGGCAGTGCCCCAATCATACCCGTTCTCTGCCATTTCCTCAAGGAGTTGATTCACCTGTGGCGGTGTTTTGGTCAGCATGTTCCCGCCACAAACCGAATCAATCAGCTGCTTGTCCTCCGGGAAAAGGGCGTGATAGAAGGTGCCCACCTTGAACGCATCATTGAAACCATGATTTGGACACCTGAGGAAAAGACTGGTGTATCTCTCCCAAGCATCCCTGATGGTCTCATCCTCATCCTGAGCAAAATGGGTAATTTGCTTCTGCAGGTCAGCTGTCTTGGATGGAGGATGGTAGCGGGTGAGGAACTTGTCCGCCAGGTTGGCGAACGTGGTGATGGAGCCCGGAGGTCGAGTGTCTAGCCACTCCTTGGCCTGCCCATCCAGGGTAAATGGGAAGTATCTCAGCTGGATGGCATCTGCTGGGACCCCATTGATATTGATTCCATCAATGAGCTCATGGAATCGCCTGAGATGTGATCGGGGGAACTCCCCCTCCTTACCACGGAACACCACTGAACCGCGCAGCATGGTGATTACTGAGGTGCTCACCTCAAAATTGTTGGCTGGGACATGAGGATGTTGAATGGGTGACCTCATGTCCGCAGCTCTAGCGGTCCAGTAGGATCCCATGGTCTGCTCCTCAGGGATCACATCATTGTTCTCTGGATCAGCCATCTCTTCTTCCTCTTCTTCTAACTGCAGCTGTGATAGCGCCTCCTCCGCAGCCAGTCGCGCCTTTAGAGCCCGCTTGAAGTTTCTGCAGGTTCGTTCAAGCTCCTGGTCCAGTGGTAGTAGATCTCCCGACTGGCTACGGGTCATGCACTACCTGCACACAATCAGCAGAAGCAACCCGTGAAGGCACACAGGTGGAAGAGATAAAATGCAGTAAATAAAAAGCTAGAGTAACAAATTCTCACGTTTCCCCAATAACCTAGAGGGGTCCCCGGCAACGGCGCCAAAAACTTGACACGCCAAAACACAACACCAATCTGCGACCAAGTATAATCGCAGACCGGGAATGCAGTAACAGGCAAGTTATATTATCAACCCGGAGTCTAGATCTACTGCTTACTCCGTGATTCTCTATTATCTAGCCAACTAAAGTAAGTGATTGTTGTTTAAAAGCAAAAGCAGAAAGAAAGCAGGAATTGATACGGTTTTCTCAAGCAGGTAAGAGTCACTCGGGAATGAGTCCCCCTAGCTCCTTAGTTAGGTTTCAATTGTAGTTTCCTGGGTTGATTTACTGTTGATTAGACTGCGAAAGATCCGACAGTAGCTTGGAATCTCTTAAGCTGACCAAGCCCTCTCAGTCTATCTACTCGGCAGACGACTAGTCTTCACCGGGATAGAAAGCTGAAGCAGTAAGAACAGAACTCCACTACTGGAATTAGATTCCAGTACAAAGCAGTACACTGGCTAACTCTCGTATAGCCAATCTTCTACTACCGAATGATGAGACTCTAGCAACCTAATCAGATTCTATCTATCTCATATTGCAGCAGGAATCAGGAAAAGTTGATCAGACTTCAATTGACTCAATAAACATGCATCATTCGATTAAAATCAAACAGTAATATCATCCCAAGTCATTACAATCAATCCCTAACACATAGAACTAGGGTTCTTCATCCCCAAGTGAGAGAGGGGTTCTACTCCATAGAGAGAGAGAGGAAAACAAGATACAAAGCAGTCATACTCATAATTATGGGAAGAATCTGCTCTGGGATGATGATTTCCACTCCTATGACGATCTCCAAGCTTGATTTGATGAAACCCAGCTCCAAGATAGCTTCTAGGATGTGTTCTTCGTCCTTTCTCTCTCTAGGGCTCTGTTTTGCTCAAAAATCCGATTCTCTCTCTTGCAGCCCGAAATTGGGTTAAAACCAGGAATTCCCGACTCACACGGGCTGGGCCACATGGCCGTGTGGCATACCCAGTTGCCCGTGTGAGTCAAAACGCTGCGTTCCAATTAGTTCGATCTTCAGGCTTCCCACACGGCCAAAGTGGTCACTTGCACGGCCGTGTGAGTTGTGGGTGTGCCCGTGTGGCCTCCTTTTTGACTTGCCTCGCGCCCGATCTTCGTCCAATCGACCCCAAACTCGCTCCCAAACCTCCATTCACGTACAAGGACCTGAAATATCACAAACAAACACAACCTAGCGTGAAATCGGCCTAAAACACGAGAAACCACATCTCAAACGATGTAAGAACAGGGGTGAAAACATGTGTAATTAACGGTCTATCAGTATAATATGGTATAATGTTGAATAATACCATATGGCATAATGGGGTATAATGTTCTGAACAGGGATGAGATAATGTTCAGAAGAAAGGATGGCACAGGCTTACTCAAAAGGTCATCATTGCAATCTGCTGACATAGATCAACATATAACAACTGATGTCGTGGACGGGTATGGAGATCGGATGAACAGAGATCAAGCAAAAAAAGGACAAATCTCCAAGTGGTTCTTCTCTAGTCATTTGGCAGTAAGTTTATCCATCTCCTAATATAATTTACTTACCCTGCCAGAATATATGATTGCTTTAACATAATTTCATATTTTAAGGCTGACTGCAAGCTGGACATAGACAACAACAATCCCTCATTAAGTGCAGACCAATACTTTGACAAAGTGGACGAATATATTTCCGACAAACAATGGGCAAAAGACCTCAGCTTCCAGAACTGTGACCTTGTAAGTAACACAACTAAAACCATATAATACCATATGGTATGACATCAAAAGACTATTCCTCAAAACATATTTATAATTATGCATTAACATTCTCAAGTCATTCATATGTAGTGGTTCTTCCCTTACTGTGATGGTGAACACTACATCATGATCTGTGTCAACATCAAGAACACAAGATTTTGATGTGCTTGACAGTCTCCGCTACAAAGACTTTGAGAAGTCTTACAAACCAATGGCGGAAAGAGTTGTCAAGTATGCAATCAACTACATGAGTGTATACTGTGGAAACAGACAAATCCCCTGGGATAAGTTTGACTGGTTCAATCTGGGGAAGAT